TCAACAGGATTTGAGGGGGAAACCAACATCTTAAGGAAGTGGCAAGCATTGTGGGGGGAAAGGGATTACCTCTATCCCTTTTTAGGGAGAGGCAAAGATATACATTGTAACCAAAGTGTCTTAAAAAAAAATCTCTTACCAGGAGGTGGGCAGGTGGAAGGGGGGAGGAGGGAAGGGTATGCACTTACACCGTGGGTGCGGTGCGCACCAGCTGGAGGCTGGGCACGCTTGAAGCTCTGGCATAGCAGGGTGGGGCAGGGGGGCAGGGGCAAGATACGTAACCCAACAATATTTGTACCCCTATAATATGAGGCAATAAAAATAAAAGAATTCTGCAAATTACCAGCTTATATCTATGTTCTCTTTCCCATACTGACTATGATTTACAGTGTCCTAATTTTTATTTGCCTTCTTTTATTACCAATCTAAATTAGATTAAAAAAAAAACTAGACTTCCAAAGTCTGTCTCTGAGACACTTAAGCAATTGAGAGCTTGTCAGTTTTTCTGAAATTACTTGGAAGGAATTGGCTAACTTAAAATAGGAAGCATTAAGAATTGACATGGAAGTATAAGTTGTCTATCTTCATATTTTATTTCATTATATTCAGTACTCAGCAAATGCATCAGCCTTAGATGGACTCTATTTGGATTCACAAACTTAATTTTTTTCTTTCAGTAGGAATGTGGGGTTGATTTGCTGGCAGTTGATCAGACTAGAATTAATCACCAGGCAAAGCTGCATTCTGGGTTCAGCTTATTTGATCACCTGCGTTGACCCTTCATTGTTCCTTGGAAGAGACTCTCCGCTGGATCTCGGAGTCATCCAGAGGAATAAGCAGGGCATGAATAATGCTCACACAAGTTGTCTCCCCCAGGTCCCTTCACCCAGGATCTCTTGGCACCCAGCACTCTGCACTGGACAGGGCTCTGGCAGGAGGCCAGGGAGGAGACTACGTAGCCTGTGCTCAAGGGCGGTGGCTGTTCTCAAGATTGCTTGGTGCTTGGCCAGGGGACCATATGCCTGGAGACCTTTAGTGCAGTGGGGTACCTGGCCAGTTTCCCCAACCCTCAGGGGGCTTCCTGGCCTTTTTAACCCACTTTATACATACGGGTTATATTTGAAGGACCAAGAAATTAGTGAATAACTTTCAGTGAATTGCCATTGCAATCCTATATGGGAGATTGGTGATCTCTTTTCTCCAACATCTTTAAAATACAAGTTTTAATTTCCTGGCTTTTATTTTATTTTTTTCATTTTAAATGAAATAGTACTCACTGTAGATAATTTAGGGACTGAAAAGCCACAAAAAAAGAACACTAAAATCACATATTATTCTATCACCTGAAGATGATAACTATTTAACATTTTGGTGTCTGCCCCTCTAGTCCACTTTCCTAACTGTGTTAGTCTGTTTTGTGTTGCTCTGAAGAAATACCTGAGGCTTGGTAATTTTAAACAAAAGAGGTTTATTTAGCTCGCGGTTCTGCAGGCTGTACAAGAAGCATGGCACCAGCATCTGCTTCTGGTGAGGCCTCCAGGGAGCTTCCAGTCAAGGCAGAAGGAGAAGGGGGAGCAGGAGTATCCCATGGGGAGAGAGGAACAGAGAGAGAAGGAGGTGGTGCCAGGCTCCTTTCAACAACCAGCTCTTGGTGAACTAATGAATTGAGGACTAAGTCATTACCATGGGAAGGCACCAAGCCATTCATGAGGGATCTGCCCCATGACCTAAACACCTCCCACCTGTCCCCACCTCCAACATTGGGGACCAGATTTCAACATGAGATTTGGAGGGGACAGACATTCAAATGATATCACTGTAACTATATATGTATATCATATAATACATTATAATAGGTATAATACATATATAATACACATATAATACATATATAATACATATAATACATTTATATTTTAACCATCTTGAGATCACAAAATATGTGCTGTTTGTAACATGCATTTTCCTTTTAATGTATTGTGAGCATTTCCTGTATCTTTAAATATTGTTCAAAACCATTGTTGTATCTTGAGATCTAGTGTACAATGTGAGGACTATAATTAATAATATAGTATAGTGGTAATTTGTCAAGGGAGTGGATTTTAGGGACTCTTAACCACACACAAAAAAAGATAACTATGTGAGTATGTTAATTTGCTTAGCTATAGTAATCACTCCATTGTGTATATGCATATCAAGATAAGTACATCAAAACATCATGTTGTACACCTTAAACATACACTATAAAAAAAGGGAAAAACTGTTGTAATAGTACTCAAGTACTATTATAAAAAGTGCTGTGATGAGCATGACCATAAGTCTTGGCACACATGTCTGCGTTTGTCCTTAGGGTGCGTTCCAGAGGTGGTATTACTGCCTCAGGACCAGGCCTGTGTGCGGCAGAGTCACCCCCAAATGCCATGTGGCGTGCCACACCCGTTCGTCAGCCTGGAAGTGCCTGCCTCCCCAGCTCTTGCCAACACTGTGTGCCCTGCTTTTGTTTGAGTCTGTAAATCTCTAAGTGAAACAAAAATGATGTCTTGTTTTAATAAATATTAGTAATTGTATTTATTGGCCATTTATTTATTTTCTTATTAAGATGATTTTTCTATTGCTTTCAAGATATTACTCTTATGTTTGTTTGGCTGTCACTGGTGTTCAGCGCTGCCCCTGCAGTGCAAAGCAGCCAGGGACAATAGTAAATGGGGCTGTGTTCTAATTAAGCCTTGTTTGCAAAACAGACCATGGGTTGATTTGTCCTGAGGGCCATAGTTTGCCAACTCCTGTTCTTGATGACTACATATATATGGTTTTTGAGAAGAGGCCTTGCTACGTTGCCAGGCTGGACTCGAATTCCTGGGCTTACGTGATCCCCCCACCTCAGCCTCCCCAGTAACTGGGACTATAGGCACACGCCACTTGGCCTGGCAAATTTTTCACTTTGTCAAATTCTTCCATCCTCTTATCACCCTTACAAACACTAAAAGTGTGTGTATATTTTTATATGTGTTATATAGTATGTACGTATATATGTGAGAGAGGGGAATTGGGTTAAAATGGCACCATGCTTGCAAGATGGTTTGGGAGAAACGTGAGGGACGTCTGCATAAACCAAGCTGCCCATCAGCAGCGTCAGGCATGACTTGCTGTCGCTCCCCACAGTCGTGGTTTTCCCCGTGCAGGTCCTGCAAATTTCCCGTTAACTTTAATCCTCGCAGCATCTTGCGTTCTAGTTGCCATCGTGAATGGGGTCTGTGCCGGGTTCCACGGCTCCCTGCCTGGGCGTGATTTGCTGGAGGGTCACGGGCGGGGGCTGCAGTGACAGCCCATCAGCACGGGGAGAAGGCGCAGGAGGCAGGCTGAGGCCTCTGTCTGCACCCGCTCCCCACCCAGATTGTGCTCCGCCTCCAGCGTCACGCGCAGCAGCCCGTGGTCCCGCATAGACTTTAAGAGCTTGTCTCCACTTGTGGCTTTCCTTCAGGTCTGCATGCGTAGCTCTCTCTCCGCACGCGCAGCCTCTGTGCTCGGTGACGCTGGGAGCGGCCCGTCCCAGCTGCTTTTTGTGACTCTTCTCCATGGCGAATCACTAGCAGTGTTCACCTCGCTCAGCTCATTCAAGTAAAAGGCACTCCCTAACTGGAGCGTGAGGTGAACACGGGCTAGGTGCTGGTGCAGAGCTCGAGCCGCCCTCGCGCCAGGCTTCGCTTTACCTGCCCGAGCAGACCGGGTCTGTCTGCGTTTGACTCCCTTTGCCAAAGAGACTAAAGGAAATCAGGCCGCTTCTGCGGCTGGGGCTCCCGCACCCTTTGCTAGCAGGTCTCCAGCCTCCTAGAGGCTGAGGGGCAGCTACAATTTTAATTGTTTCTTAACCTAGAATTCCTCCGGTAAATTCCGAGGCCTGGCATTCCAAGAGTGAGACTCTTAAGATGTGAACGGTACTGAGTCACTGCACTTAAATTCTAACTGTGATATAAGTGACTTGCACCAGAGCCTCTTTTCCACACTGCTCCTATACGGTGGCAGCACGGGAATCCAGCCGAGAGTCAGGGCTGCGAGCCCACCCCACGGGGAGGTCCGGAGGACAGGGTGGGGCCGCAACTTCTGCAGAACCTCCTGCCCCGCCAAGGTCTGAGTGGGGCCAACAGAGCTTCCCGTTCCTCCCCGCTTACCTCCAGCTTGCCTCAGGATTAACTTAATCTTTTCAGACTAAGAGGCTCCAAATCCCTTCATATTCCTCTAGGATGCTTCTCACTCATCTTCTGGTCATTTCTTTCTGTCTTCACACTTCGCCTTAGCAGGCACTGTCCTGGCTCCCGGCTAGTCTGTTGCAGACATCCTGGCCCTTTTATTGGTGCTCATGCTTGTATTTCAGACACATTTGCAATGTCTTGCCCAGACCAGCCAACGGTGCACCTGTAATGTAAAACTAGGCGGGGACCCCCCTGCTATAGGCCACTTCACGTGAGAATAGATTATAAACTCTGTGAGATCTTTAAGATGGAGTTTTAATCATGAATGGCCGTGGATTTTTCCAGAATTCTGCAACCTAGATTCAGTTTTCCCCATAAACAAGGGCTGTTCTTCTCTCCTTATCACTTTTTATCTGGCCACGAAGGAAGGAATAATTAATTTTGATATTAGCTCCAACAAAACATAATTTGGAAGATAAACCAGCTCCAGAAATATTACATATCTGTTTCCAAAACTTGCTACCTTTCTCCTCTTCTTGCCTTCTCAGCACTGGTACAAATTATTCAGCCACCTGCTTTGTCATTAAACTGAATGAGTGAGGAATACCCCAAATGCAATAATTAGGATTCAAACGTCTCAACAGACTTACTCAACTGCATGTAAATGTTGACTCTAAGTTGTTCCCTGATTCTAGCGGAAAGCATCCTTTGTCACTTGCATGTGTTCCCGCTAGTGGGGACGATGTCCACCTGTGGTGGCTGTCACGTGTGACCCCCTTGGTAACAGAATATCACTTGGATCTATTTCAGAGTTCCCTGAAAAGAAGAGGCAGTCGGGAAATGTACAAAGAGAAGAAAACCTTTAACCAGGTAAGCAGAGGTTTTCATTCCAATGTGATATCTCCTAAAGAGGAAATCATCTCATTTTGAATTTTCTCAAAACGTATTAGCTTTGCCTTTAAAACATTCAAAGAAACATTACCTGCCAAAACATTTGGACTCATTCAAAACCTCCATGGGTGAACATTTCTTTCCAAACCCACAGCTCCTTCCTTTGTTTCTCTCTTGCACTGATAAGCTGGTGATTTCTTCAGGAAAGAGAAGAACAAACCGGTACGTGTGAAACAGAATTAGATGTCGTTCAGGGGCCTGGCAGTCATCCTAACTCGTAAAAAATGTCATGGCCTTCAAAGTCACGCACACAGTAAAATAAAATAATATAGCTTCTGAAGTGTTGAGTTGTTCATAAGCCATTGTTTTGAGTGTTGTTTTCTTTTTTTTTTTTTTTTGTTAATGTGCAAGCTGAAAATATCTTAAATTGTCCTAATTGCAAGTAAAATATTCTAGCTGAGAAATGTCACAAAAAGCTTAGCTCTTTCTATGTACACGGTATGTGTTCTTCAAAACGTTCTTAGCTTTTCTGAAAAGTTGTTTTACTGGATTCCTTTCTTCCTTTTACAAAAATCGCTGTTAGTATTAGGTGTTGGGGAGAACAAAGGTGTCATTGGGATATCAGCTCACTGAACTCTGAGAGCAAGTAGTAATTAGAGAGACGCAGGAAGTCAGGGTAACCAGAAGAGTTCAAAGCCTGTGCCTGGGAACTCTCTTCTTAAGGATCCCATCTGGCTTCTCCATTCTCCAAACTCACTGGTGCCCAGAATGTCATTCCAGGAGGGCCAGGCCCCTGTGAGCAGCAGAAATGCCAAAGATTAACTTTTCTCTTCCATCCCCTCTGCCCCCCACATCTCACTTTGGAATCCACTAATCACGGGGAAATGAAAGTCTGCCACCACTGCTGGGCGCTTACACCCTGCTGGGCCTTTCTCATTAACTGGCTCCTGACCAAGGGAGATCTTTTCCTTAAAAGGGGAATTTCGGCCCCATTGTGAAATGAACAGCTGGAGTTGCATTCGCCTGCGGATGAAACAGGCCAAGGACAGGAGCCGTAGCTCCTGGGCACGCATCAGAGTCCTGGTACCTGGGATGTGAGTCCCGGTACCTGGGGTGTGTCGGGCCGCCCCCCTTGGCCTGCGGGGTTATTGAGAAAGGAGTTTCTGTTCAGCAGAATGGTGGACTGGAGTGCCTTGGGAACTGCAGGTCTGCGACCAAAACTCAAAGGAAACTGGCACCCTGGCGCAAGGTAGGCACGCGGGCAGACAGCCGTTCGGGCCGCTGGCTAGATGGCAGACTTGCAAGCCAGAGAATATATACAGACAGAATATATTTCTGACGCTTGACAAGGCCTTTCTGCTGCTGGTGATGGTGGTGGGCCCCGTGCGTGTCTCCCCCCATGCCACGCTTGCCCTCTCTGTCCGCACCGGGAATCGCGTCCTGGAACTTGTGACTCGATCTGCTTTCCTGCTGCATTCCTGGCGCGGGCCGGTGAGCTCACCAAACCCGAGCTTGACATCCTTGAGTTTAGGATTCGGCCTGGACCTCTCCCCTAGAGTCTTGGCAGAGTTTTAGAAAGTCTCTGTTGCGAGATACGATGAGCGTCCAGCCTCCTGCACTGCGGCTGTGATTCCCCATCGTACTGGAAGGAGCCCACGAGCCCCTGCGCCCCAAGAACAGGCCAAGCTCAGCTTCCCTGGGGCTGCCTGGCCCACACACGGCCTAGCAGGCGCGGCGGGCCCTGCTCCAGCCTCCTCGCCAGCAAGTTTGACCCCTTCATGGAACACACAGCCCTGGCTTCAGGATTGTCTTTGTTTCAAAACTGCTTTCGTGGTGGTGGCGGGCCTTGTCGCGCATGTGTGGGTGTCACGGCAAAACGGCAGCATGCTCTGATCACGTGTTAGAATCCTTGGTGTTGGTGTAGCTTCTTTCTTTAAGGAAAAAGACTTTTTTGGACATTTTATCAACGCGCAGGTAATATACAAACCAGACACTCGTTAGGGTATGTCATAGAACCTTGCTGCTTTCGCTGACCTGGGTTTAGGTTCGAGGCAACTGAAGAGAATTGTTCGGATTATAGTGAGACGTGCAGGGGATGGAGGGGAACGGTGTGAAGTTGAAGGTTTCCTAAAATCAAGGTGATTTGCAGGCTCCGTGGGATCCCCTACTGGCATAAGAGGATGCACTTTAAAACCCTTCTCAGAGATCCTACCTACCTCTCCCAACTTCTCAGTTCAGCCTTTTGGGGAGACCCTCAGGGAGACAGCCCAAGAGTCCCTGATCCTGACTCTTGTTTGAGATGGGACTTCCTGAACTGTGCAGGTAGCTGTACCTGGTGCACCCCTCCCGGCTTGGCCTCCGCCACTTGAAGGCCTCACCGGCCACAAGTCTGCGTGGAAGTAGGGTCAGGACACTGGTCACAGCAGGTGGCCCTGCCCACCCTGTGGTCTGGCCCAGTCCAGGCTGGAGGTAGATAGAGGGTGGGGCCGAGTTTTTCCTGTAGCCAAAGGATGTTCCCTCCCGTGATGTCTGCTGCCGTGGATTTCCCTGCTGCACAGGCGGAGGTGGGGTGATTTAGGTGATTTGGGACAGTGGGTACACACTGGCTCCCAAGATCATGATGGGGTTAATGACATCGCCTGTCTTCCACCTTTTAACTTCCAACCGAATTTATTGGCAAAGTATTTACGTTTTTGTCTCCACTGATACGTATTTTGGCTTAATTTTAACTCCATTCCTTCATGGGAACAAGAAAGACCTGTCTTGTGTTTTTGGATTTCTTGCAAATTTATATTTAATGAAAAATGGAAGAGGTGCTTTTGATTCTTCTACTTTTCAAAGTCCTAAGAAGCTGGGGTTGTTTAAAGTAGCATGCTAATTTCTGGTACATAGTAGGTACTCAATAAATATGTAAAAGAATGAATGGAAAAATAAACATGCATGCTTTTCATTTAGTATTAGGATTAAACACAGGATGTATCTTTTATAACCCTTGTAGTCTACATAGGCCCTTTTAAAAAAATTTCCCCAGCAGCAATGATAATGCGTTTGCTCAGTAGTTGAATAGGGCAGATAACCTTGCTCCGAGTTATCACAGAAGTGCTTTTTATGTCTGCATAACCCAAACCAAACCAAATCCTTAATGTGATAAGTTTTTAGAACTCGAAGACCAAGACACATATATTATTCTCCTAATGTACAAGGAGGGGAAAAATAAAGACAGAGTTACTAGCCTCTTTTCCCAATATTAATTGTGTTTCAGACAAAGAACAAAGTTAGACCCACACCTTTCACCTCTCACAAAAATCAACTCACACTGGATAACAGACTTGAACCTTAGGTGTGAAACTATTAGAATTCTAGAGGAAAATGTTGGAAATACTCTTCTAGACATTGACCTAGGCAAAGAATTTATGAAGAAGACCCCAAAGGCAATCACAGCAGCAACAAAAATAAACAAATGGGACTTGATCAAATTAAAAAGCTTTTGTACAGCCAAAGAAACTGTCAAGAGAGCAAACAGACAACCCACAGAATGGGAGAAAATTTTCACAAGCTACACATCTGATAAAGGGCTGATAAGTAGAATTTATTTAGAACTCAGGAAAATCAGCAAGGAAAAATCAAACAACCCTATCAAAAAGTAGGCAAAGGACATGAACAGAAATTTTTCAAAAGAAGACAGAATAATGGCCAACAAATGTATGAAAAAATGTTCAACATCTCTAATCATCAAGGAAATGCAAATCAAAACTGCAATGAGATATCACTTATCTCCAGTAAGAATGGCCTTTATCAAAAAGTCCCCAAACAATAAATGTTGGCGTGGATGCGGAGAGAGAGGAACACTCCTACACTGCTGGTGGGACTGCAAACTAGTTCAACCTCTGTGGAAAGCAATATGGAGATACCTCAAAGCGATACAAGTAGATCTACCATTTGATCCAGCAATTCCACTACTGGGCATCTACCTAAAAGATCAAAAGTCACTTTATGAAAAACACCTGCACTGGAATGTTTATAGCAGCACAATTCACAATTGCAATGCTATGGAAACAACCCAAGTGCCCATCAATTCATGAGTGGATTAATAAAATGTGGTGTATGTATACCATGGAGTACTATGCAGCTTTAAGAAACAATGGTGATATAGCACCTCTTGTATATTCCTGGATAGAGCAGGAACCCATTCTACTAAGTGAAGTATCTCAAGAATGGAAAAACCAGCACCACATGTACTCACCAGCAAATTGGTATTAACAGATCAACACCTCAGTGGACATATAGGAGTAACATTTATCGGGTGTCGGGAGGGTGGGAGGGGGGAGATGAGTGATAGGTGCAACGTTTGGGGGATGGTCACACTTGAAGCTCTGACTCAAAGGGTGGGGCGTGGGCAATATACGTAACCTTAACATTTGTACCCCCATAATATGCTGAAATTAAAAAAATAAAATAAGTATGTTTATTAAAAAAAAGAACAAAGTTAATTTCAGCAAGCTAGACTATGATAATTTAAAAAAAACCCACTTTGCTGTACATTATTTCATTTGACCGTCACAATGACCTTGTTGTAGGCAAGCATCCTACTTTAGACATAAAGAGTCAGGTTCACCAGGATGTGAACCTATGATTAGCCCAAGTCCCCGGACAAAGTCAGGGCAAAGCCAGGACTCCAGGCAGCAGGCTTGGCCCCAAGTCCAGCAGGACTCATTTTAACCTTGGCCAAGTAGATGCCAATGGGCATGTTGTCCCTCTGAGGGCACATAGATAGTGCCAGAACATGCTTCCCACGTGGCACTGCTACACACTTGGCTGTGGGACTTCCTATTAGTCTTCTTGTCACATCATTTTATCCCCTTCCGTGGGTTTTGTGGTGAGGGAAGGGGATCAGGGCAGGGTGGGAGGTGAAAAGTTGGGAGGCACCAAGGGAGGGATTTCTGTGTCTTCCTGCAAGGTGAGTGTGCGACAAGAGTATGGCAGAGAAGGAGCCACCTTCTCTGAGCGTAAAAGCCTCATCGTGAGCACAAACGCTGACGTGAAAGCGTTAATTGTCTTCCAGAGGGTTGACCTGCTCCAGAGCACGGTGACAGGCCTGGAGGGCAGTTCGACGGACGTCCCTCCACGCCAGCTGGGGCCGACGGGGCCCGCCTCCCGCAGCTCCTCTGCGTGATGGGGCACCTCTGCCGACGCCTTTGGAACTTCTGATAGCCCCTCGAAGAGCAGCGACTAGCGAAGTAGTCATTTTTCCCATTCCCTGAGCGTGGCTGGCAGAACGCTTCTGTGAGGCCAGGTCGGGCGGAGAGTTCACATAGCTTCAAAGCACGGAGACCAGCACTGGCACAGCAGACTTGACTTTCCAGTTGATCCAAAAAGCGCCTTCTTGCTTCAGCCATGCAGTGCGGCTGTGAGCAGCCGAGTCAGTGTCGGGGGACCCCCGAGAACCCGCTGGTATTCCCCTGGTGTCCCGATGAGGACCCCTTCTCAGGCTTTGAAACACTTGATTCCATCCAACACATAACTCCTGGCCTTGGCCTCTGAGTGTAATTTGCTGCTGCGTCCCAGTAACTAAAATAACCATCGCAACCAAAGGGACAGGGGACACAGGCAAAGGCTCCGAGGTTGCGCTTGCATGGTGAAGGCGCGAGTAGACAGGCGTCTGGGTTCGCAGCAGTTGTCAGAGCTGGGGACCGACTCAGCAGGCACCTGGACTTCCAAAGTGCCCTCCTGCTTGTCACTCCTCACCTCATTTTCTTGTCATCATGTCATTCTTGTGGGACTTTGGGCCCGGGAGACCAGGAGGGAGAGCGGCAGATTTCCCTCTCGGGTCAGGGAAAGCTGGGCTCTGACTTGGGGTCGCCTGGCCCCCGTCCTGGTGATACCTGTGGATCGCTGGCCACTTGGGAGGGGGAGAGAGTGAGTGCAGCCAGGTGGACGTGGCCCGAGTCCACTTGCCCCGCCAGGCTCCTGTGTTCCCGGCGGGTGTTAGGGTTCACTGCATTTTCTCCTTCTTCACTTGCGGCTTGTATGGCGGTTTTCATGCGTACGTTTTTTTTGCCAACCAGTGTCTTGGTTTCGTCTGTCTCCGTGACAAAGCAGCGGGCTGCGGGCCTTTCCCAGGCCCTCCTGCACCTCTGCTTGTGTCGGCTCTTTCTCCGGGTAACCGAACGGCACTGACGGGAGGATCGGTGTTGTGTTTGCGTGTGTACTGGGGGCGAGGTGCGAGGGGAATCGTCAAAAACACGAACATTTGGTATTTCCAAATAACCCCTCTCTCGGGCTGTTCTCTCTGGCAGGATGACAGTGCCGATCTGAAGTGCCAGCTTCAGTTTGCCAAAGAGGAAGCCTCCCTGATGCGCAAGAAAATGGCCAAGCTGGGACGGGAGAAGGACGAGCTGGAACAGGAGCTGCAGAAGTACAAGTCCCTCTACGGCGACGTGGACAGCCCCCTCCCCACAGGGGAAGCGGGCGGGCCCCCCAGCACCCGGGAGGCCGAGCTGAAGCTGCGGCTGAAGCTGGTGGAGGAGGAGGCCAACATCTTGGGCCGGAAGATCGTGGAGCTGGAGGTGGAGAACCGCGGCCTCAAAGCGGAGATGGAGGACGTGCGAGGCCAGCACGAGCGGGAGGGGCTGGGCCGGGACCCCGCGCCCGGCCTCCCTGCCTCACCCCTCGGCGACTCTGTGGAGTCCTCCGCAGAGCTGCGCCGCCACTTGCAGTTTGTGGAGGAGGAAGCGGAGCTGCTCCGCAGGTCCATGTCGGAGATCGAGGACCACAACCGGCAGCTGACACACGAGCTGAGCAAGTTCAAGTTTGAGCCTCGCCAGGAGCCGGGGTGGCTCGGGGAGGGTAACGGGGCCGGGGCCGGGGCCGGCACGCCCCTGCAGGAGGAGCTGAAGTCGGCCAGGCTGCAGATCAGCGAGCTGAGCGGGAAGGTGCTGAAGCTGCAGCACGAGAACCGGGTGCTGCAGTCCAACATCCAGCGCTGCGACCTGGCCACGCACCTGGGGCCGCGCGCCCCGAGCCCCCGGGACAGCGATGCAGAGAGTGATGCGGGCAAGAAGGAGAGTGACGGGGAGGAGGGCCGCCTGCCCCAGCCCAAGCGGGAGGGTCCTGTAGGTGGAGAGAGCGACTCAGAGGAGACCTTCGAGAAGACGTCAGGCTTCGGGAGTGGGAAGCCGTCGGAGGCCAGCGAGCCGTGCCCCGCAGAGCTCCTGAAGGCCCGGGAGGACTCTGAGTGCCTGGTGACCATAAGGCACGAGGCCCAGCGGCTTGAGCGGACCATGGAGCGGCTCATCACAGACACCGACAGCTTCCTCTGCGACACAGGGGCCACCCTGGAGCCTGGCGTGCAGGGCGAGGGCGCTCAGGCCGAGCCCCACTTGCTGGGGACCATCAACACGAAGATGAAGGCTTTCAGAAAGGAGCTGCAGGCCTTCCTGGAGCAGGTGAACCAGCTGGGGGACGGCCTGTCCCCCTTGCTCCACCTCACGGAGTCCTCCAGCTTCCTGTCCACTGTGACCTCCGTGTCCCGGGACTCCCCCATCGGGAACCTGGGGAAGGAGCTGGGCCCAGACGTGCAGGTAAGGGGGCTCCTGGCTTCGCCTCCCTGCTCCGTCTTGCTCTTCCTGCTCCTGGCTGGCATTGCTGCACTCGGGCTCGTGCTGCTCACTGCTGCTTGGTCATGATTTCCAGCCTGCGTTGTACTAAAGCCTCGAGGGCCAACCAAATCCTTTCTGTTGGTTGGGTTTCTTTTTTTTTCAAGCTGTCTTTTATTTCCTTATTTCTTTTTCCTTTTTCCTCTCTTACTTTCCCTGCGCTGCTGCCTGTGGCGCACGGGCCCTCTCAGCCAAGGCTGGCCACGGAGGCGGTGGGGACCGACGCGGCCGGCCTTGCCCTTTCTGGGTGTCCCAGACAGCCAGCTGCCCGATGAAGAAGCAATGTGGAGTTTAAGACCAAGTACAAACTCTTGCGCCTCGGTCAGGATAATTAGCAGACTTGCTAAGAGCGTGCGCATCCCTACCTGGGTTTGTACCCGAGGGACACAGTGCGGCCTGCGGCCCTAGGCAGCCCAGGCGCGTCCTGCTGGAAGACAGGCCAGCAGGGGCGAGAGCGCGGTTCCCAGAGGACGTTTCCCCGGAGAATCTCGCCACCGCTCGCTCTCGCCGCCCTCCCGAGCCGAGGGAGCGGCGGAGCGGGGGCCTCCCGAGGACTGCCCCCCTGTGCCTCGCTGGGGTGCATGGCCCAGCTGCTGCTGGATTGTGGCTTTTGCTGCTCGACCAACAAGTAAGGAAAGAGGAGCCTTGTTTTCTGTTCCTTCTCGGGTAGTGTGCTTGCAGTTGAGTTCTGGACTCACGCACCCTCTTGCATGTGCCTCATGACCAGCGTCTCGCACCCCGCCCTCTGTCTGCTTTCCAGACGTGTCCACGCACCCTTCCGCTCGTGCTCGCTCCGGGTCTGTTCTCCTCTCCCCTACGCCATGTCTTCAAGCTGGTGTTTCTAGTCATGCTTTTCTTCATCTAGTAGTCCTCAGTCGTCTCCCTTACCCATTTTTGGTTTCTTTATCCTCCCTCCCCACCCCTTTGTCCTTTGTTTCTCATTTAAAATTAAAGCAAAACAAAACAAAATCCCTCCCATGCACCTCACAGTCCAGACTGAGAGAGCAGCTAGAGTGGCAGTTCGGTCCGGCCCGGGGGCACGAGCGGGACAGCTTGCACCTTCGAGCCACAAGGGAGCTGCACCGCCGCGCTGATGGGGACGCCGGGAGCCACGGGCCAGGAGGCCAGAGCTGCTTCAGCCTGGAGGTCAGCAAGCTGGTGGCCCCAGATCCCATCCCACCCTCCCGCCCCTCCTGCTGTGTGGCTGGCTGTGTGGGGGTTCCCCGCTGGGACGAGGCCCTGAGGGAACACGGCAGGAGGATGTGGAGCTAGGTGGCACTTACCTGGCGTCACAACCTATTGCACTGAGCCGGAGGGTGTGCACAGGTGCATGTGGGCGAACTGCCAAACTTGTCAGATGGGAGTGACAGTCACAGCACTCACTGTCCCCCTTCCTGTTTCCCCAGGCCCCCGGGGCACCTGGAGGTGGGACTGACTGGGGATCGTGCAGTGGCTTCTTGTCCAAAAGCAGATAAAGTAGGAATGGAAACCAAGCACGAGCTTTCCTAGTTCGGAGGAAGCTCTCTTTAGGGTTTCCTTTTTCAGTTCTTCATTGCCTGTGTCCTGTGTGAGCATCCACGGTCTCTGGTGACACTGTCCTGGCCTGTTGGCAGAATCAGGGATCACTCCCGGCCAGTGGCATCCTCAGCAGTCTCTGTTGCCATGGTAACCCCATGTACACAGAGCTGTGGCCACCACAGGGACCTGCATGGTTGAAACGGTTGTCAGCAGTCCTGCAGGGGTGAAAGCTCTTAGGTGCAAGCCATCCATGCAGGGCAGGAAGACGGGTGTCCTCAAGGAACAAGGGCTAGAGCAACATATTCCTCGTTAGAGAAGGACAGTGACTTCTGTAAGACACTGATGAAGACCCCTAATGTCTCTGCCCCTGTGGGGAGGTTACCACTTAGCTGCGAGGCATGGGAGAGGAGGGGAGAGGACGCACCAGCTGAGACAGACAGAGTGCACGCAGTAGAAAGCCCAGCCCTTCCTTGAGGAAAGGAAGTGAGCAGAGGTGCAGGGCGGGGCAGAGCTGGGGCCGCTCTGGCTTGGATAGGCCAGAGGATGTGGAGCTAGGTGGCACTTACCTGGCGTCACAACCTATTGCACGGAGCCGGAGGGTGTGCACAGGTGCATGTGGGCGAACTGCCACACTTGTCAGATGGGAGTGACAGTCACGGCACTCACTGTCCCCCTTCCTGTTTCCCCAGGCCCCCGGGGCACCTGGCCCGTTGTCAGAGACAGGGACGGTAGGGCTGCAGCCTCACCCAGGGGAGTTCCGGTATCTCCAGTGTGAGGCCTTTCCCCTGGCCCTGCAGGAGCGCGTGCCACATCTCTGCCCTTGTGACTGGGCACACACCAACACGACCACCACCTCGACAAAGCCTGAGTGAAACAAACGCAGTCTTTGGGGATGAAGTTAGCCATGTATCACAGCATATCAACTTCAGTGTGTTCTTGTTCCAAAATCGCGAGTAAGCCGTCCCTAGGTTTTATGCTGAGAGTAGAACAGAACAGGCAGACATTTGGAGAGCTCCCATTGTCCCCACGGACGCAGTGATTCAGTGCCTTAGGGCACTGTAGAGCAGGGGTCCTCAGACTTTTTACACGGGGCCAGTTCACTGTCCCTCAGACGGCTGGAGGGCCAGACTATAGTTTAAAAAAAACTATGAACAAGTTCCTGTGCACACTGTACATATCTTATTTTGAAGTAAAAAAACAGGCGAAACACCCGCATGTGGCCCGCGGGCCGCAGTTTGAGGACGCCTGCTCTAGAACGTCTACAGGAAGCACCTTCGTTGGCCTGGGCCACACACAGGGCTTCTCTGAGAGTGCTGGTTGTGGGGTGTCAGCACGCTCACCACGCTCTACATTCACATGGCTCGAGTGATCCGTCTCCAGGATGGAACCCTCCAGAACACACTTTGCCCATCCTTCAGTTAGCACTGCACCACTAAGCTAGTTCTGGCAGGATGTCGTACTGCTCTGGAGTCAACTCGGAGTGGGCACAAGGGCCCTGGGCTCTAGACCAGCTGTGTCCATTAGTAACTCCGTATTTCACATGTCTCTGGGCCCCTGTTTTCTCACATGTAAAACAGGAGTAACAGTACTGCCCTACCTGCCTCAGGGGGCTGTATGTGGTTGATTCTCAGAGTATAGGAGCTGTTGAGTGAGGAAATACCCTAAAAAGTGCCGAAGGCTGTGTCCACGTGAGGCCTGAGTAATAATAGAGGGCAGCACGTCCTGCCGTTGAGGACAGCGGGAGAGAAAGGCTCCCAGCTCCCCCAACACGGTGCCGGTGTTCTCTGCCCACGTGCCCTTTCTTATTTGCCACTGGCTATTTCCAGAACCACAACTCTGGCTGCACAGGCAGCCTCTTCCCTTTGATGGCCTGTTTCACAAGAACTATGTCTCCCTCCCAAGTGCTCCATCATGCAAGGCCTGTCCCACATGCAGAGCCCTTCTGGGTCCTCCTAGGTCCTTACTGTTTAGTGGAGCCATGAGTCACCACACACACGAATGCATTGCATGCCTTCGAAATGGCCAGTGCTTTTAGAGAGAGAAAAATATTTAGTCAAGTCAAAGTGAGTGTTGAGGGACGATAAACCTCTCGTAGGAAGGGACACTTTCAGAGTTAGTCGGTGCCAGGTGGCAACATAGGATCAGGGAACAAGTACAGCTCAGCGGGGAACACCAGATCCTCAGACCCATTTTCTCGTTCTGTAGATGAGAACAAAGGAGGCCTGAGAAGCGGTGTGGCTTGCCAGGAAGCCCCCAGCTGCTTGGTGGCACCTGGGTGTAGACCAGACTCCTGGAGCCGCTTCAGTCCTCTGTCCCCGCCAGTGTCCCCAGAGGGCTGTGGCCCGGCAGCAGGGACACCCAGCACTATCCCAGTGTGTTTCTGATCACGGTCTCTCAAGTGACTAATCATGGCGGCTATCTTGCCATGGGACGGTTCTTTTAGGCATTTGTCCAGTTTTCTTTAATTTTGTGTTTTAACGAGAAAGTTAAAAAAAACAAAACTCAATAGTGAAAAGCCAGATCCAGGGAGCATCTTTTCATAAAAGGGGAAATGGCGTTAATTAGGAGTTAAACACCCTTTGTTCTGATGTTTTTATTCATAAAGCATGTCACACAGAAGAGAAAACTCAATTATGCTGCAAACATTCCATTTAAAATTTTTTTTACAAAAACGAATATATTCTGGAACCACTCTGATACCTTCAGAGTGTTTCCTTGTATTCGAGGAGCTGTGTACAGGTCACTCTCAGAGCCTCGGCCTGGAGAGGCTGCCCGCCCTGGTGTGGACGTCACTCCGGCAGCCTCTTAGTTTGGTCTTTGCACATTGTGTTAAGGAATTGTACAGTGCACAGTTCTGGCGAGCAGAACTCCTTTCATGAAAACATCCCCGAACTCCCTGCCGGCAGCTGCTCTCCCGTGAGGCTGGGCTGGGAGCAGGGCACAGAAGCCCCGTGAGTTAGCTGGCCACAGTGGCTGCTCCCGCTGAGACTCAACAGGCCCCGCCAAGTCACCAGGAGCGACAGGGACGCTGCCAAGGGTGAGGCGGGCTGTACTGCGGTCGGTCGTCCCTGCCCCCTCACATCGCACTTTAAATAAGCGCTGACTTTGTCCTCGAGCCAGCTGCTGCTCCGTGTGTGGACCTCCTTCGGCAGTTTGCCTTCAGCGCCCCGGGGGTGAGAGACACCTAGTACAGAGGCATAAAAGAATAAACAGCTTTCTGAAATTTGGTGGAAGTTTTAAAAAAGGATCGATTTCTCAAGTTGCATTTATAAAATGCCTCTGTGGTTTTTTGCCTTATGGATTTTTCTATTTGGAGAAAAGGGAAAGAAGATAAGTTGCTATTCTGGAAGACTGGGATATTTTGGCCAGGCTAAAACTATGACTACCACTGGCAGTACCAATAGCAGCAGTAATAATGAGAAAAAGAAGTATATATATATATATATATATATTTTTTTTTTGGTGACAGAGTCTCACTCTGTTACCCAGTCTAGAGTACAGTGGTGTCAGCCTAGCTCACAGCAACCTCAAACTCCTCAGTTCAAGTGATCCTTCTGCCTCACCCTCCCGAGTAGCTGGGACTACAGGTGCATGCCACCACGCCTGGCTGATTTTTAGCAGAGGTGGAGTCTCGCTCTTGTTCAGGCTGGTCTCGAACTCCTGAGCTCAAGCAATCCTCCTGCCTTGGCCTCCCAGAGTTTTGGGATTACAGGCGTGAGCCACCGCGCCGGTCTGCAGCACATTCTTACACATCACACATTTCCAGCAGATGACAAACCTTGCGGTGCAGGAGGCTTGCCACTTAGATGCCACCATTCACTAAACCTGTGACAGGAGTGGCATCTCCTAGCCCTGCATTCTACCAAACGGCCATGGCCAGGGCAAAGTATAGTCTCAACCTACTAACACCCACTAACTCATTAATGCACCACAAAAATTAACTGCTAAGAAAAGATCCAGGCTCCAGAAGGATAAATATTCCTTTTGCCTACTCTTAGTAGGTATTGGCCAGATTCTCAGTCTAGGTTCTGGACTCTTCCTGACTCTGCTCTGTAGGGTTCCCATGAAATCTGCTGAGAGATTTGCTTCATCAGGAGAGAGCAGTGTATAGGATATAGTTTGGAATGTGCAAGGCACCTTAAAAATAGTTCTGAATGAGAAGGAGCTGAGCATGGACACTGGTCAGATTTCACACGCACCATGCGTTGCACAGAGAATTGCGTTTCTGGGTCAGAAATCTCAGGCTCTTCTCCTTAGCTCTTCCTTTTACCCTTTCATCAAAGCAGCACAAAAGCATTTGCCATCCCTCACGCTGCAGCCATGAAATACCAGCCACAGTAAAATTATGTGGGGTCTTATGCCAAGTATTTACACACGTGTTGCCCTCATATACCACTTTTGAAAGGAGTGGTAGCAAAACTTGTCAGGACAAAAATGGAACTCACCAGAAAATGAAGTCATGGGAATGGAGGTCATTGCTAGACGTTATATGACTGCAGTGAAAAGCATTCTTTTGTTTGTTTATCGCGATAGTGAGATAATCTTCTGAAGTGTGGAAGGTAATTTATGACCCCCTTTTCCTGGAGATGTTCAGAAAACCAGCAGTGTAATCGGTGTGAGGCACGGCCTCAGAACACTGACCTGGGGGGGTGGTTGTGATGTCAGGACTACTGTCTCAGCAGCCTCGGAAACGTGTGGGTGGTATTTGTTTAAATACGATGCATTTGTTTGGTGTATAGTCAGAATCTTAGGTAAGTGAGCAAAGGATGGTTTTTAGAATCAAACCTTTGGGAATTGGGTGATAAAGGGAAGTCTTTATTTTTCTAGAGGAAATTCTATATGTCATGTGAAAACTTTCTCCAAATGTATGTGATTGTATGTAGTTGTGTGGCAGTAGAGTAATTCTGGACCGAAACTTTTGTCATAGCATGTTTGTATTTTGTTCTTTGTAACACTGGAGTGACAGTGGCATCCCAGCTAGGAGCAGTTGTCTGTGGGGATTTTCATATTCCGTTAGGAAAAATGGATGAAAAAGGAAACTTCTAATAGGTCAGGAGTACCTAAGTTTCTGCTGCTGACCAGGTGGCGACAGTGTACACAGACGTGCTGGGGGCACTGTGGCAAATCAGATGCTGGCCTGAACCCCTCACGGGACCTCAGGCCCTTTTCTGTGACCCTTCAAAGGTGTGGCTCAGACAGAGGAGCACGTTTCTAATCAAATGATACTGAAGTATGAGTCCCACATATTTATTTAAAATTAAATGGTTTATATATTATTTATTAAGGCTAAAACCAAACTAAACACTTTAATGTGTATAGAAACTAAATTCATAGATCTTTGCTTTTCTTAAACGGTAAGCTTGGTTAGGACATCTGTTTTAGAATCTAACAATATAAAGCTTTTGGCTAGTACATAATGCATTAAAATAGGAGGATTTTCACATTCTAAATGTATAAAGCAGTGTATAACTGGAAAGCAAAGCAGGCAGCAGAGCGGCCCAGGTGACCTGTGAATGCTCCTGCACAAGCCCCGAGGGCCAGGAGCTGGGCGGGGCTGGCAGCTGCATGGCTGCCTTCTCGAGAACACAGTCTTTGGACAGTGATCAGCACTGTAGGTGCTCAGTAAATATTTATTGAATAAAATGCTACATAAAACACAAAGCATCCTTTAAAGTTTTTAGCTGAATTCTCAAGAAAGTTAGGGAATTCCTCAAGGGTTGGAACTGGTTTCAGAATTGAAAGCCAGAGCAGTATCTGAGGCCTTTGGGTGGGTGGAGTAGGGGATAATCGCCTATATTAGTAACCCGGAGCCCTGGGTTTCAGTACCTGCAAGGGAACCGAAGGCAGGGCTCAGTGAGGCAGGGAACCCAACGCGTCAGGGAATGGAACTAACAAACAGGAGGTTCATCTGCCTGCTGGTCCCGGGATGGGGAGGGGAGGCAGCAGGACACTTGTTGGCCAGCTGGGCTCCAGCTCAGGAGAAGGACTACAACCAGCCTTTGCCCGAGACCAGACTTCGAATTGGTGTTACCTGTTGAGTCCAGGAATCCACAGGAAAGGGATTTGTGTTAAATTGCTGGCTTCAGCAAACACAAAACCAACCTGGAGGCACCTTCTCAACCCAGATCTCATACGAGATCCACAGCTAAGTGCCCCTGGAAGATGAATTCACAGTGCAAAACTTCAGACACACAGGCCAGAAACATCCACCAGGAGCAAGAGTCGGCAGACATGGCAGATAGCGGGACTCAACTCTGCGACCTTCCGGTGACAGAATTGTCAGACACCCTAAAAGACACATGTTTGAAATCATTAGAGGCAAGCAGACATGAGAAAAGAGTAAATCACTATCATAAAAACCACACGTATTTAAAAAATAATAAAACTTTCAGAAATGAAAAATTAGTCATTGCAGTAAATTTGACATGTAGAGAGAGAGGTGCCTCTTTTCAAAGAAAACCCTAAACACTGCATGTAATACACTAATACATATAAAAGACTATGGTAACAATCTCTAATAGCTACCAAAGCAAAGAAGCATTTAATGCTCTTAGAAATTCTTAAATTCCCGGAAAGCAGACTAAGTTTAAATCTCTGGCTTTCAAATTTTATCCCAAAGTTGGCTCTGATTTTCTGTCTCTGTTCTTCTAAGCTAAGCTACTGTCCCCTCCCCCTCCTCCCTCTCCTTCTTCCTCCTCCTCCTCTTTCCCCATCTTCCCTCGCTTTCCTCCCACTCATCCTCCCTCTCCCTCTCATCCCCTGTGCTAAGGGAAGTACTTTGCTCTTTAATTTTCTGCATCTCTTGTTCTCAGGGTATGATCTTTACTCATGACAACACAGGTACCATCACATTAGGGGCAGCAATCAATGTCCTCTGAGAAGCAATAGGTGCATTGCAAAGGAAATTGGAATGAACCAGTGAAGTGACACACATTTTTATTGCAACAATCCACTTGAATTCCCAGTTTTATAAATCACATATCTTCAAGGAGCATAAATCAATGGGCAAAATGACACACTTAAATTTTAATGATGCCTGGGATTTTTAGTATAGCAGAGTTTCCATCGCTAAATAATACATTTTATTTCAAGAGTAGCGACTCTGCCTTCTCATATCATTGCCATTTGGACATAAAAGGTAGACTTTACTAAAAAAAAAAAAAAAAAAAAAAAAGTGACCTATTTTTACCCTAAAGTGTAGTGAGTGGATCTTTCTTCAATTCCCCTCCGGCAACACTTGCTGAAGCCACCGGTCTCTGCTAATTGAAAGAGCCGCACCCCACTGCCCTGAGCATCCAGGGTCAGATTTCCGGATAAAAGAAAGAAAGTCACCGTTGATTGAGCAAGAAAAAACTCTAATAAGAAAGCATATGACAAAATTAATTATTCGACGTAGACCCCGTATGGCTCAGAGACCCTAACAGCTGGCGATGTGTGGTGGTGGCCATGCTTGCCTGATTGCTGAGCCCTGACCGCTCCCGGCATGCTTCAAAACCTAGAAGCTGCTGTGGGAACAAGGACACCTCCCGTGTCCCCCAGCGTCCTTCTCTCAGCCTGGCTGGCAGTCATCGTGGTGGCTGAAGTTCAGGGCCAGCGCCCCATTGCCCACCTTGCCTCCCGGGCAGCAGACGCAGGGCAGGTGCGGCTGGGAGCCCGGCGCCGGGCTCAGGTGCTGAGTGTGCCGCAGTCACTCCACTGCTGCAGCTCCCGCACGTGCTGTGTCGCTCCGTGTGTGTCCCCAGCTTGTGCAGATGTCTGTCCTGCGTTGTCACCTCAGGCAGAGGTCTCGTTTCCACTAAACCCCTTCCTTTATCCCACCAATCAGCTCAGGGGCCCCCCTGTTTTACCCGAGCAGAGTGTATCGATAGAGGAGCTACAGGGTCAGCTCGTGCAGGCGGCCAGACTGCATCAAGAGGAGACAGAGACATTTACAAACAAGATCCGTAAGGTAAATATTTAACGCAGATTTCAGCACGGCTGCGGCTTGGACGGCACAGCCCCTCAGGAGAAATGCCAAGATGCATTTTCCAAGGCTGCTGTCTGTCGCAGACAGGCTCCTAGACTCATGGGCACAATCGTGGAAACCAGTCCAGCTGCCCCCTCTCGGTGCCCGTAAAGATAACTGTCTACCTTTCTGCTCGGTAACATGCTTTTCAGTACTTGCACTGTGGTCTCAGGAGGGTCTTCCTCCCATCTAATCCGAGCTTTCCTGCAGCGTACCAACATGAATAAGGGCCTAAATGCAACCGGACAGGAAAATGTGCCTGTCACCTTTGTCAGTGTTGGGTGAATTTTCTGATAGGAACCTCAACAACTCACCTTAAACAATTGTATTCAAAAAACTGCCACTACTTCAGCTGTAGCCTGATTAACTTATATTATTCTAGAATAGCCTGTGACTGGCTAATTACCCTTTATCCACCAAATCCTTTCCCAGAGTGCCGAGTAGAAGGATTCACAGATGCAGGCACTCATCGCCCTAGGCCTCCCTGAGGAGGTCCAGTCCCTGCCACCCCAGATCTAATTAAGTTATAAACAGATATCTGGGTTCAGAATTGGCTGTGGCTGCACTTTCCCCCTTGTATTTGTTCTTGAAAAACAGTGATGTCTTTAAAACAAAACAAAGCAGTTGATCTTGACTAGGATACCACCTCAGTATTTTAAAAGGCATATCCTGTGCAAATAGGACACTGAGTGTATCCAAGATTTGTTTTGGCAAGGAATGTGTGCTACACGTAAGCCCCCGCATTGACCATGGCCATGTGATCTAAATGGGCCACAAACTGAATAAGGGAGCATCTTCTGCACCTTGCAGCTAAGGGAAGGCAGAGTTGAATGTCAAGATCTAAATATTTTCTGCCAGCTTCTACCAGTAGATGCGTACCCTTTTTTAAGTGTTTGGTTTATAGGTCAAATTTCACATACCATTACCAAAGAAAAATAATTTTATATTACTTAAATGATAAATTTATAAGAAAAAAAATTTTTTTGCATTGCACCAAAAGTAGTTTGAAAAGTGAATTTATCACTGGATATGCTGATAACAAAATGGCAGGGCCCCAGGTGTTTCTAGCACTTGGATTCATAGCAAAAGTGTGTGTTGAAGAGGCTTTGGAGGTGGAGATATGTCCTCCAGGCTCATTCAGAAGGGAAGAGAAGGTCTCCCTTAACAGAAGAGGGCAGAGGACTGAGCTCTGAGTCTTGGGAAGCAACTGGAGCAGTGGAACAGGAGCAGCAGAAAGGGCAGTGGAGGAGAAACCAGAGAGAGGAAGGAGCCTTCCCGGAGGGCCTGGACGGTGCTCCAGCGGGAAGGCCCAGTGTCTCTGCCTGTCCACAGCGGCATGGGCAAAGGACAGGAGTGATCTTCATGCTGCCCAGAGAAGGCTGACCTTTCCTAGCGAGAGTCCGTTGGCTAAATCGTGCAAAAGAAAATAAAGTGCTGGAACTCTAAGTGTGTTATATCAAAGGAGAAGTTAAGTCCTAACCACTAAGTCATGGAACATGTTTGCAGTTTTGTTTCTTGGATTATAGATTAAGTCCTTCCTCGTGATTCTTGTTCTGTAAAGGAGAGACCAGAGACCTGACCCCCTCCCTTTCAATTACTGATCTTTGTGGCAGAATAACTGCCTCCTTTATTGTCCTGTACCTAACTCAGACCAGATGGTGCAAAAGACCCATGACGGTTACATCTTGAGTGTGAAATAGTACATGTCCCTTTCTCCCCCAAAAGGACCACATGGACTAAGCAATAAGAAATTGCAGACACTGAGTGTCTGGGGTGCCCGGCTGCCATCCCTGCTGGTGCTCCCTTGAGTCCACAGGGGAAAATCAGTGGTGGCCACCCAAGGGCTGCAGAGATGGCAAATAAAATCGCCCCTGTTTTCCGTTGTTTCAGTCTGAAGTACAATAAAGATCAGGTATTACGAGCAGCTCTGCAAGTGATTGCCCAGACTCATGGACCTTTCCAGAGCTGCCTCTGACTCGTCACTGGCCCCAGGCAGCCACAGTCCTGTTCCCATGGTTTCTGAGAATTAATCTAGTACTTTAAGGGGGAAAAAAAATCCCTGCCTTGGTTTTTGGCATAAAAGAGAGTGTTAAATTGGGAGAGGACAGCTGCTAGCCACTGTAAGGCTGGCATTCGAACTTTTTATTTTGATCTGTGGAACACAAAGCTTTGATCCGTGCATCACTTTAGCTACTATAGGTATTAGTCTTTTGCCCTTATCTGCAAAATAAGATTTTCTTCACCTTTTGGCGTGGTCAGTGGCTTGTTACTTGGAAGAATGCCTATACCCGTGGTGTTTAAAACACGGGAGCTTAACGTGGAGATGTTAGACGTTTCTTTTTCAGCAATGCTTTTATTTCCCTAAGGGATACCCATATCCAATAGGAATGTTAAGTCTTTAATTGCGGAAGTAGGTTATCAAACTTACTTTCCTGTTTGCTCCCCGCTGTGTGTAGTCAAGTCTCACATAGTCGGGAAGAATTCCCTCTGGCCCGGCCTGAGTGCTCCCGTCAGCTGCTGTGCTCTTCTGTCAGGGCTCAGGAGGTAAAGGGGAAGGATTTCCACTTCCTTTATTCTTTACAATTGTCATGCGCCTTTGAGTGCCAGGCCATGTACAGAGAGGAAACGGAATCCACTTGAATGGAACCCAGCTGTAAGCCATGCATCCCAGAAACAGTTTCCTGAAGGAGTCTTAGAGACATCTAAAAACACTGTGAGAGACATGACAATGAAGAATGATTACAACACCTTACTTCGAAATGGCACTTGCTTCTGAAGCACAAAACTTATGAGGTTTTATAAACAGTAAACATCTCAAGTCATTAATCAAACTAAAATACGGGGGCGTCACATCCCATATGCAGTGTGCTGTAGGTTGAATGGCAGTTCGCGGAGACCCTTGGCTTGGTTTGGGTGGCCAATTAGAATAGCTGCTTGTCACAATTTCTCCTTCCTTCCGTTCAAGATGGAGGAGGAGCACCTCTACGCCTTGAGGTGGAAAGAACTGGAAATGCACAGCCTGGCCTTGCAGAGCACCCTGCACGAGCGAACCTGGAGTGATGAGAAGAATCTGATGCAGCAGGAGCTCCGGTCACTGAAGCAGAACATTTTCCTCTTCTACGTCAAACTCAGGTGGCTGCTGAAACACTGGCGGCAAGGCACGCAGATGGAGGAGGAAGGCGAAGATCTGGCCGAGGTAACTCTGCCTGCTGGGCTCGTCGTACTTGTAGCTGTTTTGTTCTTGACCCCAGGCACTGCTGTTCCCCCACCCACCCTACACGCAGTCATGTCCTATTATTTTAAATTATTTTGTGTCAGTTTCAGTCCCAGCAACAGAAATGCAATGACCTGTCCGGTTGCAGCAAACCACGAATCCATGCTGTACCCGCCTAGTTTCAGGAGCAGCCTGGTCTGCACCTGCGTCCCGCGGCAGTTCTGCCCCCACTGCCTTCGCTGCAGGTTTACCCACTGACATCAGCACCCCAAGGCCCTCACCACCGCACCCCGCCTTGCTGGATTGAAGGAGCTGGTTCTGAAACTTCTGCTCTTCTTTCCATTCTGTTTTCGTTCCCAGATGTGAGAGCCCATTCTGCCCTCACGGGTTTAGAGAGGGCTCTTCTAAGCTTCAGATGTGTCACTTTGGCACCTCTGAAATTTGTATTTGTCCTTCTTTTTATGTCATGACTCCCAGATTTGCAACCAACAGAACAGAGTTACTTGCTTTCTGAGTGATTGGTACTGATTCGGTGAGGCCTCTCGCTCTGCAGGCCCCGGCCTTGCTTGCCGGCGAGCCCGGGCGGGAGCTGCTGTGCTGGGCGTGCTCAGGGCACCCACGCCCGCTGCTGGGCCACTGCTTACAGGCACTGTGAACACCGGGTTTCTCTCTAGCCCTGAGAGACCTTCTGTCTGCTTTTCACTCTAGTGAACGGTGTATGTAATTTTAAGTTCCCATCGTAAGAATGGGAAGATACAGCGATTCTCTTTCCTCAGGGTGAAGAAAGTGTTCAAAAATTAATTGAACCAGCTTCCAAATGTCTATGATACAGAAACTGTTAAGCAAACCCTAGAAGTAGTTGCAGAATGTTTTGCTGATCAATATTCTGGACTTTTTCCTCCTGTAATTTATAAAACCTTAGCTATAAGCAATACTAGTTTGTAAATAGTAAAGTTTTTATTAATCTCTTCTAATAAATTGAGGACCTACCCTGTGCTATTTAAATAGAGCAATTGCCAATGAGGGAAATGCCCAAAATGAGCATTTTAAGGGAAAGGACTGAGAAGTACAGGACTTGATAATCCATAAGTGGGTAATTATCCTCAAACATAGAAATCAGGCTGCACAGCAAAAGGATTTGGGTGAAGCTGTGACCACCATCTCCTGCTGGTTTCAGGGCGAGCATCCAGAGACCCTGCCCGGGCTCGGTGAGCTTGGAGTCCAGGGGGGTCACCAGGCAGGCGGCCCAGACCGGGATGACGGCGACCGCGGCTGTGGCTTCCCGGTGGGGGAGCATGCCCCCCACTCCGCGGTGCAGGCTGGAGAGCGTGGCGCGCGGCTGCAGACTGTGGACAGGGCACAGCTCCACAGGCAGGTGGGTGCCTGATCCGCCGTCGTTCTACCCACACCTGGGAGAAGACAGTCCCAGTCCCAGTCCGAGTTTGTGTCGTCTAATTTCAAGTGCTGGTGTTCCAGGTGGCAGGAAACTCCTCCGCATGGCTGTGGCCGCCTGTTGCCATTTGTGTTGCTGGATTTTTGCTAGAAATCATGTCATTAAGCCTTTTGTTTCATTTACCCCTATAAGTAAGGACCACAGTAAGATCAGATCAATAGAATGCGTCCCTCTTGGGGCCAGCGAATTTATCTCAGAAGGAATGCCATTAGCAACATCGTTAATTTGGCAACATAACATATATGGAGAAAAGAACAAGTATTTTTTTTAAATCCTTAAACATACAAAGTATTTCTGGTTCTCTCTGGCCCCCTTGAAACATAATCCCCCAAATAAAAGTATTTGATGACACTTTGAAAAAAGAAAGCATGTATAAAGAGAGGTTGGATTTCAACGTTATTAAGTAATTATTAGTGTTGCCAAACACCACAGAAATAGACCCTGCTTAATAAATTGAAAGATACTGTTGATAACATCCAGATTTTTTGCATTTTTATACAAAATGGCGCTGTGGTGTCAGAACTCCTGAGAGGGGCCCTGTATTAAAGCTTTCTCGCTCCCAGACTTGGGAGCCCCTTCCGGCCCTGCTTTGCTCTCAGAGGTCCTCTGAGGCCTGCGGCCACCCGCCCCAGGAGGCCTGTGTGCAGGCTGAGGGCGCAGGGCCTCGTGGACCTGGCGCAGTGCTCTGGGCGCAGCCTCCGCTTCAACCACAGCCCTTGGGGGGGCCCTCCTTCTGCGCCGGCCGGCGCGGAGCTGCACGTCCTGCGGGAGAGGGTTGTCCCCAGCGCGCTGGCTCAGATCCAGATGGGCGGCGGCTGCGAGGCTCTGAGTGGAGGCTGCGGGGTCATTCGCCCCACGCCCGGCTCCTGCTCTCTCTGTATACAGATCGGATTTTCGTACCTAAACAGCTGTTTCTGCGTGCACTCGCCCACCTTCACGTCCCCCGAATGTGACCCAGGAAGGAGATTATACTTCCAAAGGAACGTTTACTCAGTCATTAGGAAGTGTGTGGTCATGCGTGTCCGTGGGGAGACTTTAGGTCATGGAATAGGTTTCCAGCAGTGATCTAGATAGAAACTAAAATGTCACTTTGCAAATAGTGCTTTCAGATCTACTAATTTTATTATTTCAAAAAGTGATGTTGTCAGTCAGTCCTGTAAAATGTCTGTGCTTAACTCAGATACTGTCCTGATGGCCACTTCGCCACAGACCTGCCCACCTAAGAAAGCGTGCTGGGTGTTTCCCACACATGCATCCAAGTGCTTTGGACAAGGGAAAATGAAACACATCTGGTTTTCTAAACAACAGTCATGGAAAATGTTACCCATGGGGTGGAAAATAATGTAAAGCTGCTCAGCTGGAACCTCACATTCAGCATATTTTAATGTCATTTCCCTTTGCCTCCCGCTCCTTCCAACACTAATTTTTAGTGATTACCCGTAAAAGTGGAGGCGGACCTGTGAGTTTCCACTCCGTGCCGTGTGCGGTGGACGCACCTGGATGGGCTGCCAGGGCGGGCCCAGACAGTCGGGACCGAGCCCGCCCCTCGTGGGCTGGTGTGTCCCCAGTGGGGACGCAGCGCGCGGTGTGCACAGTGCTGTCTGAGGCCCAAGGATGGATGAGCTCTACTGTAAGCGACAGCTGGTTCTCTGAGAGGGGACATTCCCCTTTAGAGGAGTCGCCTCTCCATCAGGGGCATGAGTATTAGCCAGGCAGCTGGGACGCAAGAGCCTGGGCACATGTCCCACAGAGCTGCCGGCCAGAGCTGGGCTGTCTCAGAACTGCTGAGCCCCGCACAAGGCGATTAGCAGCCTGGGAAACGTGGCCACACCACTTTCCCAAGGACAAATTCGCAAGTAACAAAATTTCTCAGGCCTTGGTCTTTGCTTTGTGTCATGTTGAACATTCTCACAGTTGAACGCAGTGGATGGCAACATTTATCATGTCCAGCGAGGTTTTAAAAAAAATTGCATGGGAATGGTTCATAAAAAGTCAGGTTGGCAGGAGTTTGGTGCTGCAGACCTCCCCTGCTTTCCAGCCATTAGTTGCACGATCTCATGGCAGCAGCCTGGGTGCTCTCAGGCACAGTGAGCTTGCTGTTCACCCAGCCTCTGCAAGAGCAGAGGCCACGCTCACGCGAGAGCAGGTTGTTTAGTGCTCCTTGAGCCCCAAGACACTTGCCAGTATGTTAAGCATTTGAGGCCAGCATTCCTCGGCTGTTTATGCATTTTATACTGATTAGTAATTCCTGAAATCAAGTTTTTTTTCTTTTAACACAAGGTGATTAATGATGCAGGAATTACGACCCTGTGGTGCCAACAGCTAGTCTTGCCAGCACTGGATTAATTAAAAGAGAAGTTACTTTTTCATTCAGGGATGTGACATAATTCTTTTTTTTTTTTTTTTTATTTATTTTTTTATTTTCTCACTGAGCATGCTGCTTGAGATAATTCTCATTATTAAAACAACTAAGTACAAATGTGAAGAACCTAATATAAAATTCACAGCAAGAGCTAAAGGGATTATATTTCATATTTGTCTTTAAGTCTTCACCTGCTGCTGGTCACTGACAGGCCTCACTCTGCCCAGCCTCAGGGCCGAGTAGACTTGGCTCCCTGGACCTTAGTTCCCTGTCCAGGGCTTAAGTGTAGCAGTAGCGCTGGGGCCTGCAGGGACTGCCCTCAAGGCCGGCCTTTCTTCCGCAGTCAGAGCCTTGGCTCCCTGCACTTCCTGGGCTGCGACGCTCGCAGGTGCAGCAGCCTTGCTCTCTGGCTGTCCAGGCTGCCCACTTCTGCTTTGCCCAAGGTATAGAAATTTCCAGAAAGAGCACCTTTGCCAGAGGAGGCCTGTACATCAGAACTGTGAACCGCCTGACTTTTTTTTCATAAGACAGTTTTTCTCTTGAGTCTACAGAGCGTTTACATTTCAGTTTTGTATGTGGTGCCATGGCTGATAATTTAGACCCTGCAGCTGTGCAGCTTCCCCTGTGAGCTGTGCTACTCTTAATATAAGAGGAACCAGACCAGAGCTTAGGACTGCGAGGCATTTATCTTGGCTACGTGTCTATTGTGGTGGCTGTTTCTATTACCCTGAAGATAACACATGCAGGAGAAGGTAAAAATGTACAAAGGCATACTTAGCGCAAGGACTGTCTCCGCCCTGTCCCACCCATCAGAGGGAACCCCGGGTCAGCAGCCCACCGCGTACCTCCAGCGTGCGTGGCAAAGCCAAGACCTCTCTAGTGAGGCGATTTCTTCACAGATGGCCACTTGATCTTCACCAGGCTTGCCCTGGTTTCATAAGCCTTTGGGCTGATAATTGTGGGGATTTTTTGTTTTTGTTTTGAGACAGAGTCTCACTTTGTTGCCCAGGCTAGAGTGAGTGCCGTGGCGTCAGCCTAGCTCACAGCAACCTCAAACTCCTGGACTCAAGCAATCCTCCTACCTCAGCCTCCTAAGTGCGGGGACTACAGGCATGCACCACCATGCCCGGCTAATTTTTTTTTCTATGTATATTAGTTGGCCAGTTAATTTCTTTCTATTTATAGTAGAGACAGTCTCACTCTTGCTCAGGCTGGTTTCGAACTCTTGACCTCAAGCAATCCGCCCGCCTCGGCCTCCCAGAGTGCTAGGATCACAGGTGTGAGCCACCTCGCCCGGCCTGTGTGTTTATAGTTTATTAAATATGTGCCTCATTAATTCTTTCACACACCCATATTCGTTCTTGGGAAGCTCTCAGTGACAGTTATGGAGACGAAGCACAGAGCTCTCCTGGACAAGACCACTTGGCGTCGTCTTGGCCAGAGGGCAAAGGACTTCCGTGTGCGAACGAATCTAACTTCTGTCATGTATTATATTTTCAGGGCCACCTTCAATGGCCCATTCTCTTTTATCTGTAGGGCGGATAATGGTTTTAGAAAAGAATCTTAAAACTTATCTGAATGTAACAATGAAGGTAAGAATGACAAATGGCTCATTTATAAACATCTCGCTAGTGTCACAGTAAGGGATCTGTCCTGGGGCTCCTGCTGGTGGAGGTGCTACTCGTGTGGACGCTGCACGGCGTCTCCCCAGCGTGTCTCAGGGAGGAGCTGCGCCTGCGCGTGTCGGGGCCCAGGGTCGCTGCTGTGGCTGGAATTCCCTGCCTCCTAAATAAATAGGAGGTGGAGGCCATCACCTCTGTTTCGGGACTAGGTTTTTGTGGGTCGCCCATAGTGGCAGGTCAATATACGTCCCAACTTTACATTAAACCTGTCTTCAAAGGCAGTGGCTCTGATGCAGGCAAAGTAGCTGGTGGTGGTTCAGCTCTGTCATGGAGCTGTTTCACCTCGTCTTAGACATCTCTGCAGGCAAGAACAATTTTGAAAGACAGCCAGCATTGCATCATAAATATCTTAGTACAACATCACCTTATCCATAAACTTCCTTTTCACTTTCTATTAATAATATTAGCTGTCGACTTGGACAGCAGGCTGGCGTGTTGAAGGCCAACTCGGAGCCTGTTATAAAGCTCGACGCTTTATAGCACAGTCAGGCTCCCAAGCCCTGTTTAAAGCCTCGCTCGAGAGACATGAGCTAGGGAAGGCTGCAGTGCCCCAGACTGAGGAAATGTGGTGCCATTTTATCCTGTTGCTTTGTGAGAATCAAACCAACTGATCTCTGAAGAGATTGAAAAGTTGGGTTTTTTTGCTAAAACTGACCGATACTTAACATATGTGCATGTTAAAATGTTTCATAACTGGGTCCCTGGCACAAAAGATCCAGAAAGCTCTAAATGGATCAGATTCTTAATTTGATTCTTTGACTTGATTTGGATCTTTTGGTTTTTTGTTCTTGTTATTTGTTGTTTGTTTTTTACCAAAAATATAGCCCAGCAAGGGGTGCCCACCAGGAGAAAAAGAGAGGGAAGTTAACTTTTAGGTT